AATAATGATTCTAACTTCATCAACAAAACGATGGAGTCCACATCTGTCCATGATGATTGCTTTGGCCCGTGCTCGAACTGAACCAAGTGTGTTGTCGGACTTGGACTGATCGTCGGTCAAATCATCGACCTTCCAGAAGACATACTGCTTGTTGGGGTCACGATACATACGTTTGGGTAGTCCCTCTGGGTAGTTCTCAATTGCTATCTCGTGCACTTCAGGTTCCAGATCAAATGAGATTCTGCGAACATCAGAAGACTTCTTTGCGCTGGCTATCCTCGGTGAGGTATAATCCATAGAATCTTCATTGTCGCTATCAAAGAAGGAGTCAATGGTAATGGGAGTCGCTTTCTTCTTTGGTGTCTTCTTGCTGGTTCTCTCTGAGGATGCTGAAGGCGATTGGTCTGCATGTAGGAATTTACATTTGCTCCCAAAAGTGCAGGTACCCTTCTGCCAATTCCAACATACCTTCTTTTTGGGTCCAGCTGAAGATGAACTTCCTTTACTCTTTCCCCTTGATGAATCTCGACTTCCACTTCTGCCTTTCTTACCTTTCATCTTGGCATCATAGACCTTCTGAGAATGACTGTAAAGACATTTGTCACCTTTGTTGCATCCTCCTTTATTGAAGAAGTAGTTACAGAAAATCTTCTTCTTGTCAACGGGTGAAGATGATCTTCCCTTCCCACCTTTGCCTTTCTTGTTGTTCTTGTCGGCATGAGATTTCGGAGAAGGTGTAGGAAGTACAGATGCAGCTTCACTCTTCGCTTTCGCCTTAGGCCGTTTGGGAGGATCACCTGTAGACGATGCAGCTGCTTCATTCTCCTTCTTGGTCTTGACGGGAGCGGCAGGCTTGTCTGCATCTTCTAAGGCAGGTGTCGTCTTGTTAGAGGACAATGACAGTTTCACTGCACGTTCTCTATCTTTCAACAGTCGTTCTTGCTTCCCTCTTGCTATGTATCCTTTGATCATGCCAATCAGGGATTCGTAGGTCTTTTCAGGATGCCCTTCATCGTAGGTACGGTATCGGCTGATATCAAAAGACATAAGCTTTGAGTGTTCAATCTTCCGGAACAATGTGTCACGCAGGGAGTTTGCAGAAGGCAGATCATCATGTTTCATGTTGTATACGATGTCAAGCCATTTGTTGTAGAAGGCCTCAAGCTGGTCATCTCCATAGTAGTTGAACAGATACAAATGATGGGCATTGTAGAGAACTTCAGTGTGATCAGGTGACTTGAAGCTAATCAATATCATTGCAAATAGTTCTCGTCCCTTGATGAAGTCCCCACTTCTCCCGTACAATTGGTTCTTCATGGACATTTCATACTTCACTTGCATGGACTTGTCCCCAGCATTGTCAATGACTTTCCTCAAGGCATTGGAGAGCTTGGCATCAATGGATTGGAATCTCACATCGGGTGCTTTGGCCAGGACCTCCAAGTCAGGTTGATCTGCAAGACACGGAGCTAGCCACGCTTTCCAATCTTCATAGTTTCGATCTCCACTTGCAACACAAACTTCATGAACGACACTTCCCTTCCAGGATGAAAGTTCAGTGGTCTTAGGCCAGGGTTGGAGGCTGATCTTTTCGGCTTCTCTTAGAGATACGGATGACTTGGATCTATCCCTTTCAAGGTTCTCCAACTCCTTGACATTGGTGTTGTACTCGTTCCTGAGCTTTTCGAAGGCTTCAGCTTCTGCTCGGTATTCCTGCTCTTCATCGTTGGCGCGATCTTCAGCTTGAGAGAAATTGTTCTTGTAATAATCTTTCCGATCTTCCATCTTCTTCAACTCATCTTGAAGATTTCGAACTTCATTGTTCTTCTCTTGCTTCATCTCGTCCAACTCTGCTTTCGGTTTGGCACACTTCTCTTCACATTCATTCCGAGGCATAGCATTACTGGGGTACCCATGTAATGTAGTCGGTCTATTCTTTGATGAAGAAGAATGAGCTTGATTTTCCAACTTCAGGGCAGCAATAGTGCTCGACATCTCTTCTACCTCAGCGTAACGTTCATTGGCCAATTGATGCATCTCGGTCAAATGGCTTTCAGGAATGGAATAGTCAGTCGCACCTTTGATCACGAGTCTTCTGTCGTTCAACATCTTGATGGACTTACCTGCATCCCTGTGAGCACGCTCAAGAGAATCCTTTTGGGCTTCAAGTTCAGTATGAAGGCGAGCAATAGCTGTGTCCCTGTCATTGATTTCATTGTGCAAACTGTCGAACAAATCACTCGTCACATTCGGATTGTTGCTCATGTGATCGATCTTGTTCAGAGCATCTTGATATTTCTTACCAGTCTCATCGAAGTTTCGTTGGAAGACTTTGAGCAGGTCCTCAGTGTCAATGAGTTCAGTTCTGTTCTGCAAGTACAACTTGTCAACTTCAGCCTTGGATTCCTTCAAGCTGTCACGCTCACGTACGGCTTGCATATACATCTCGTATAGAGGCCCTCCTTGCGGTGATCTGCTTGGCGAGGATCTTCTGGCTTGTTGACAGGAAAGTTCATGATACTGATTCTTCGATTCAGTCAGTTGTTGTTGCATTCGATCTAAAAGACTTTGTTTCATGTGTAGTTCAGAACGTAGTCCCATTATCCTCATGTCCCGCATGCCGCTTGATTCAGCTAGAGATTCTTCAGAAACCCTGTTCTCAGAAATCGCTAGTCGAGATTGTAGGTTCTCATTCTGAATCATCTGCAATCGAAGTTGCGATTCTTCCAAAGCTAGATGATGTTCACATTCTGCATAACGGTCATGTTCAGATCTTATGTTACTACGGAACTCCTTCATGATCTCGTCCCTCTTCATGTCAGCAGCATCAAGCTCAGTTTCCAGTCGTCTGACGTTCATGGACATGGTGTGCTTCATTGTCTGATTTTGATTGGCAACCTCGAGCATCTCGATCTGTAAAGCACATGTTTGATCATTGGCGTAGCCGACCGCTAGAGCTTCCTGCTTGGCATTCATCTCTGCGTTTTCCAGTTCCAGTCTGAGTTGATTGATGTGAGCATTCGCATCAGCGCCCACATGTACCATAATTGCGCTCGCTTGTCCCATTTGTTCATCGAATTCCGAACGTAGTCGTGAATATTTGAATTCCAAATGAGATGCAGCTTCATTCGACATAGTCTGATACCTTTCCAACTCTTCGATCCTGTAGGTCGCACCTTCATCTTCTTGTTGTGCAGCCTGTAATTCGAAGTTCAGCATCTGGAGTTGTTCGGTCATCGACATCATCTCTTGATGAGTGGTGCTTTCCAGGAAATTAAACTGTTGATAGGCATAAGCTGTCGTCTCAGTCAATCTTGCCTGAAGTACGGATTCTTCTTCAGTAGCCTTTTCCAATGATGTTTTGTACTCAGCTAATTCGCTCTGATAGGCAGTGAAGATGTCGCTACCACTCGATGGGGCGTTCACTTGCTGATAAGATCCTGTCCCTGACGGAGTAGCGTCCTGAATCGGTGAAGGCGGATTCGACGACGTAGTCTTCGCCTTAGTCCTTGGAGTCATCGGAGGCGACAATTGTCGTGCAGATGATCTTCTCTTTCCAGGTGTGCTGTCCCTATCTTCAATTGCTTGCATTGTCGAAATTTGTCTCCCTCTAGGAGCAACCAGAGGTCGCCTGGGTAGGCTTGTTCTCAGTTCTGAGGCATCGCTTCCACCAGTGTCGATACTCTGTGAAGAATTTGACTGCGTGCCGGCAGCTGGTGCAACGGCATGTCCAGAGAAAGAAAATGCATTATCGCTGCTATCCTGTTCAGTCATCTGTAAGGCCCGCGGCTACCCGCTCGTAGGCTCCGTAGGAGTCCTACGGCTGATAACCTGCGAATCGGGGATTGCTTGCCCGATTATGTCCTAATCGTCAATGTCAAAGTGGATGTTCCAATGATGACGCAACAAGGGCACCAGCTTCCGCATTGCTATTGTTCTCTCTGTCGCTGCAGTGGGTCTTGAGCCGAAAGGGCGAGTGTCATGCCCTTTGGCTGTGGATCTTAGAGTGTTGAATTATGTGATATTGTACAATGGTCCGTAGCTTACACTCTATTCGCATAATTAATATAGTAAAATAGAACATACTATAAAATAGTATAATGTAACAAAATATAATTAGAATAGAATAAAATACAATGTAAATATAAATACAAATAAAAAAGAAAAAACATACATACAAATATGAATGTATATATATATATATATATAAATACTCGGATATATTAATATCAATATTGATATCAATAGTAATATAAAAATAATAGTAATAGTAATATCATTATTAATATTAGTATGTGTATTAACACAATATAATATCGTAAAATATTATATTATAGAGTAAAGTTTGATATGATATAATACAATCCGATATAACATAACATAATATAATACAAAAATATAATACAATATAATACAATATAATACAATAAATATAATATGATATAATATATTATAATATAATATAATATGATATAATATATTATAATATAATATAATATGATATAATATAATATAATAATATAATATGATATAATATAATATAATAATATAATATAATATAATAAAATATAATATAATATATGTATATACATATATATATACATAATATATATATATACATACATACATATGCATTTACATATACACATACACATATACAAATACAAATACATATACATCTACATACACATATACATATACATATGTTTATATTATATATATGTATATACATGCACATATATATATATATATACAGATACAGATATAGATATAGACTATAGATATATAGATACATATGTATATGGAGATATAGAGATATAATTAGAGATGTAGAGATATAGAGATATAGATATACATATACATATGCGCATTATATATATATGTGTATATATATATGTTATATACGTATACATATGCGTGTTTTTTGCACATGTCTTCCAGCCGGTGACATGCCAACAGACACAGCAATTGGGAACCCTAGCAATGGCTGAGGGCTGGACTCAACGAGGTACCCCAAGTAGAACTCTCGACCCACCTGCCGACGCGGTGCCCGGAGTTATGTGACCCCCAGTGGTAAAGATTCGCCACAAAACCTGGTCTCTTCGGAATTGGATGTTGGCTCAGGCAATCAGATGGATGGTCGGGAAAGTGCCCGAAGATTCTCAAATCGCGCAGCTAATCCACTGTGGCTAATATCGAAGGTAGCTCCCAGGTCACCCACAGGATCATCCTCAACCACTCATCAGCTGTGGAACTCCATTTTGGGAAGATGATTTTGCTGAACCGATTCTCAACTCCCGTCCCAGCCTCCGCCATGGTCTTCTCAACAATGGGCTTCCAGCCACGTCTTTGGACTAGGCCTTGGCTTGCATGGAACCAGACTGGCTGTCAGCTTGCGGTGACCAAATTAAAGATATATATATAAATAAGGAGCCGAGATTTTTGACGTCCAAGTTTGGGAAAATTGAGTCCAGCATCATCCGATAAACAGCTAGAGATAGTCAAACTTGGGGTGTTCCATGGTGTGAGATGCTAAAATGACCAGTCAACCTGCGGATCGCAAAGTCTTAGAATTTGACCCATACTCAGACCCAGAAGTGCTGCTTTATGGGTCAAGTTGAGGATCTTCTTGTCAAATTTAAGGTCAATCCATCGGCTTTTTTATAATCCACAAAAATTGTCATCACAACAATTAGTGGTTTACATTAATATCCAGTCGATTTGTTGCCATATTTGGTTTACATATAATGTGGTTTACATGGGGATGGGTCAAAACCCTATCCCCCTTCTGTTCACATCAAAATAGCTGGGGTTAAAATGGATGTTCATCTCACTAAAAATATCTAAAAATCATATGTTCATAGGTATTGATCCATACCCATATCCACTAATCTGATCTCATCATCTTCGTCGATTTTTTCTCTCGAGGAATCCCATGGCACCGAATCCCAAAATCCAGTCGGAGAGCGTGCTGAGCCCCCGACCACGTGCTGAGCGAGCCACCAAGGCCGTCAAGAATTTGCTGGCCCTGCCGGGAAGGGCAAACTCCGGGCATGGTCTTGTATAGATGCGCAAGCAAAAAATTATGTGGGATAGGATATGGTGATATGAGTTGATATGTAACTACTGATAACTAGTGATCACCAACATAAATGTGGAGACCTAAGTGTCACTAAGAATTTCATACGCCTGATCTTGGACGACACATGCATAAAGATGTCTTGCGGGATGTGATCTTCCCGCATGGCAAAAAGATGAAGCTACACGTTCAGACTTTTTTCTGCATCGATTATGCAAGGTGTGGCGAAAATGTTAACCTATTGACCTACCGAAACCAATACTTGCCGAGGCAACAGTTGATCAATGGTTAAAATGTCTCATTGTCACGGTGTCATCCTTGAAGGCCACAACACCAACCTAGAGATCATAGCTCTATATTGTATATAACATCATATAATCCTCACCTAACTCAGGTCAACTGCTCAGATCACTGGACATGCGTTCAAGGTTATAAATAAGGGGCAGAGCCCAAAGCGTCCTGAACCATGTCATGGTTCTTGTTCCAATCCGCTAATCCCCATTTCGTCAAATGAAGTTCATTGTGTCTTACAATCGTTGATGGAAATGGCGGATAGAAAATGAGTGTCCGGTTTTTTAAACTCGGATACAAAGTCACATGTTCGGAGCCATTGGTGTCCATGATTGATACACACCCAGTTTATTGATGATCGGGCACCAGTTAGAATTGGAACTACCATTGCTAGAGCTACGTCTTCGGATCCGAAGATAATCTCGAAGTACTGCCTTTGAAGAACCACCAGAGATGGAACATGCGTGGAACATGTGTTAAGTTTAGTTAAGCTTGCGAATCTCTTGCCTAAATCCAGCATCATTTACTTCACAGCCCGCCCTGTGAAAACCCAAAGTCTCTAGTAACTGCCGGGTTTTCTGGGTCGCAGGGCAGAGGTCCAAGGAAGTTCTGCGATCTCCGCAACCCATTGACCTTGAAACAGCTGCAAGGCCATTGTTCCACATGCAGAAACGTCCAAAGAGGCTTGGAGTGCAACAAGGGTCCATGTTACTGTTGTGGTTCAACATGTCATGAAATGGGTATGCATACATTAAGACATGTATGTACGCCAACGTATGCCTCCAGCTATCCTTTCCTCCGTCGAGGTCGGGACCACTGTACCAGCAACCCCCTGCAAAGGCAAGGACTGCAGCAGCACCCACTTATCTTCATTATCCCACCGCCTCAGACATCAACAGCAAGGCGTTGAGGGTGGCATGGTCATGGCCACATCCGAAAAAAACACAGTGCCGGCCATGCATTTACGTCCATTATAATATCTTGTATCTGTTTTTCCAGATCTTCACACTCCTGAGCTTCCAAGCCCATAAAAGCGCAGAACCACTTTGCATTTCGTCGCTGGCTCCTCCCACCAGCTCGCGAGGGTCTTGAGAATGAACCATGGATGAAATCAATCGGAATTTCTTGGGGGGAAGTCCAAATAACTCCAATAACTGTTGAAAAAAAAAGGTTCAAATATCAGAGTTATCAACATGTTCAAGTTGAGATAACTTTGGGCAATTGTTTTTTTTTACAGTTTAAAATAACTGAAGGCGAAGGCATCGCTCGTCGGTAGTGGATGTTGAGAGACTCATCCTGAAAATGTTCAGCCGAGTCACGTTTGTCCCATCCTGAGCCTTTTTTGTGGTGGATAATTCTTTAAAAAAAGTTGAAATAATGTGGTAAACCCAATAGTAAACTACATCCCTAAATGGATCTAAATGGTATGTTTATTATTGGGTTGCACACATTATTGGCTTACATTGCTTCTCTACAGTCCATTCTTTGGTGCTGAAATCCCAGAAGCCTCTAGTAAACAACTCCCCCATTCACGGATCTGTAAGGGTTACCCAACAAGAACCGTTGTTCATCATCATGTTCCAACATCAACATGAGAAAAACAAATTGAGGAAGAATCCCCTATATTTGGACAAAGCCATGATCAGACTTTGATGAAAGTGAGAGTTCCCTCTCTGTCCATGATAAACCCTGGGTCTGCATCCCCAGGAATCAGTGGGTAATATCCATACTACAAGCCAGTTAGGCTGGGACATGGTGACCACTTGTTGGCAATCCCACTTGGATGTGCACATATCCATCTTTTCGACCCACCTATCCAACTATTGTGGGTAAATCCTCCATGTAAAGCCCAGAATCAATCCCCCATTATATCCCCATAACATCCCATAATTATATCCCATTGAGTTGGTTACAGTAGATATCCATATAAGTATTATATATAGTGTATATATAATATAATAATACTATATTATATTATATATATATATATTTATTTATTTTCTATATATATATATACGTATATATATCCGATGAATTCCCCGTTATATCCCCAGTACAGTATAACATCTCCCTAAATAACCCCGGAAATCACTGTGCCCAGGCACCGCGCTGCTTTGCTTCTCAGCCTCCTCTTTCGACGTGGAGCGAACAGCGGCATCTCCTGCCATAGAGGATTGATGATGGACGAGGCCAAAGCTATAGGAAAAAATAATGATACGCGATGGCCTTGAACAATGGGAGCTTGGGATGGCAATGTATGGCATTCCCTTTTTAGTCATGCCTAAGAGTGTGATCGAGTACCTGGCCCATTGATGCTTCAACACACGCTGATCAGTAGAATGAAAGCTACTGGCACAGTTGCTTGCAATCAAACAGCACAAGTTTGGCTGTAATGGAAGAATATCCGTGGAAACCATATGTAATTTGGATTGATTTGGTATAACATTCCATATTATATGTATATATATATGTATATATATATGTATATGTATATATATATATGTATATATATATATATATGTATATATATATGTATATACCTGGAAGAATGCTTTCTCCAACCATTTTAAACATGTCTTCTGTCTTTCAGTAGAAGCAAAACGACTTGCAGCTGCTATCCACACCTGCAGTACTCTGCACGTTGGTTGAGTCTGCCTGAGCAGCTGATACTGTTCCAGGATTGTGCCTGACATGGTTGTTGCGATTTATGGCCATCCCACCATGATTAGGATATAGGAGTTCTCCATGGTAAATTTATACAACCTCTATGAAAATGGATGACCAGGGGGTCAGCACAATAAACTATACGAAGATCTATGTTCAAGATATGTGCAAGATTGTGCAAGCGTAGCAACATATATGTGTTGTTTCCGTGACATCGAACATATGCTCGCGTAGCATGCAAGACAAATGACCCACCCCACCCCACCCCACCCCATCTCTCTAACGTAGCATCATGCAGGTGTGCAAACGCCAAGGAACGTTATCAGCCCCACCCCACCCCACCCGAAACACTGACGCGCCGTGCCTCTGGGAGGTCTGTTCAAAAAAGTGCACGTGTTCAGCACGACCGAGCCACCAACAAGGGTAGTTTGAATCAAGTCTGATTTTCGCCGGCGGTCAGTCCGTGCCTGCTCGTTTCCAGCCACTTGCCGCTGGGTTGCAGCTAAGAGGACGGCGAGCAGAATGGCCCTTGGGGTGTCTGGTTCCAGACCCATCTTCGGTGAAGATCTAATGAATCCTCTCCCGGTTAAAATCGGAATCGTTGGGGGGTAGGATGGAGAGAAAAACTGAAACCACGAACTATACATGAGGGTCCAAATCTCTGCATAGTTGATATAGTTCTCAGGCAGCCCTGAACACAAATGGCTTCCACCCAGGACACTCTCTCAATCAATGGACTGATTGAAAGGTAGATCTGATTCTAGGAGTGGGGAACATGTTTTTCCCTTCATCCACTGTATGGGTGTTTCCTAAAATGGTGGGCCCAATCATCCAAAATTGGTTATGATCAATGGGAAAGCCAATGGTTTGGGGTACCCGTATTTCCTTGATCCACTTTATCCATTCCAGGACTTCAAAATCTGGGCCTCATCTGGCCGCTCTGAGACTTCGGCTGTGTTGCAATCGCAATGTCCAGCCCGGCCAACATCCCACTCGCCTGGCTGGCCCTAAAATGAGCAGCGCTGGCAGATGTGTGTTTCTAGGATGATCTCAGGTATAATACGATTCAGATTCCCATGTGTGAAAGATTCTCTATCCTACCATCTTAAAGAGGTTCTCCCATATTTTCTCTAGGTTATCGTGGGACTGCTCCACTGTGCTTTCTCCACATTTTGCCCCATCCACCGTGCTGGTGAGAGGTCCAAAGATGTCATCGTCCACCAACAGAATGGGGCCACCCACCTGCTGGCGACTGAGAAATGGATCCACAAAACAAATCCCCTATTTCCGCAAAACATACCTTACATCCCTCTTCTTTTCCTGGTCTGTTCCCCAATTTTTGCTGGTGATCTTCCCACCTCCTCGCGAGCTTCTTTGAGATCTCGCCTCGAGACCTCGAAGCTCCTGATCTTGTTGCAGGGTTTCTTCACTGGGCTTAAGACAAGCTTGGGGCTAACATGATCAACTCGTTGGCTTAAGAAAACCAACGATTTCTATAGTTAGTTGGCAAGATAATTGAGCAAAACATCATGTCGGAGAGCTAGATGCTCTTTTTTAATTGGAAAAATGGGGTCAACAAAGGTATCTTAAACCCAACTAGTTGATGATCTGATACGAATTGGGGTTAGAATTGGTTGATACCCTGATTGATATAGGTGCGAAGGTATAATGATGGTGTTGATCAAGGTATTATTCCACTTCATCTAACTTGAAGCAATGAAACAATCCTTGGATTGGTTGAAGGGAAGAAAATACACGCAAATCTGTGGACGGTGCCTTCATACGGACATGGGGAAACGATAGAGGACACCAATTGGGTAGCCATGGGCATATTGCCAAAACAAAAAGGGATGTGGCCTAATTAACAGGAATGGATGATTCAACAAGTTTGATCAGGTGAGTGGGTTCTTGACGGACGGCGACCTGCGTGGTTTCAGTTGGGAACCTTATTGGCAATCCCTTTTAAGGCTCTCTAAATTCCCACGAACCCAAACCAACAACTAATGCCAATTAACTCTTGGTTGAGGTTCAACCCATCCTTTATGTGCATGGTGGTCAAATAATGAGGCATCAATCATCCAGGTCTGAATAAAAAGTCGGGAGACATGTTGAACTACCAAACAGGACACCAGCATATATCACCATCTGTCGTATCTCGCATACTCAAACAACGAGGATAGGATGTGATACCATGTCCTACAGTACCATGTCCTAGACCATATGTATTGATTATATTATAATATTATATATATATATATATTATATATATATACAGTACTGGTATAATATATATATATATATACACGCATACACTCTACACCTACTAGTATATTGAAATGTTACAGCAGTTTCTAACAACACGCGTGTTCTCAACCTGGACACCTCGCCCATCTCAACGACCCACCTTTGAAGTTGGCTGTCACGATCATCCACCAACGACTCCTCCCTCATCACCTGGCCACGAAGAATTGCTTGGGGCCATGGCGGCCATGTCCAAAAAATGGGGAAAATTAGGAAAAAATCCATCAATATATATATATATATATTAATATATATATATATAATTATATATATAATTATATATATATATATACATCAAAATCCCTCGTTTACGGTGTCGAAACCCCGAAGTTCGATGACTTGGCACTTGGACAGCCAGCTTGATCCTCGTCAGTCCAGGAGAGCCCCGAAATTTGGTACCAAGTCGCAGCGGAGCCCCGAAAGGTCTGCCAGGATCCCAGGCGCAAAGCGCTGCTTTCAGCCAGAAAAAGGAAGTCCCCAATTCTCTGGGCTCCCATATGCTCCCATTTATGGGTGGAGTAGATTGGAGTATAACATAGTATAACATAGTATAACCATGTATAACCACATACGCAATCGCACCTGTTGCATCAGCTCTGAAAGGTTTTGCTGCAGTTGCCTTGATTCATAGGGGGTCGTTGCCAGATGAGTGGCGCAAGGTCCGATTTCTCCCGTCTTGTTTGTCCTACAGATACAAGAAGCTCCTGTTCGAAAACAACCTTCTGTGGGCTCTGATTCCATAAAACGAGTAAGACTATCCCTTCCAAAACAAGCCTGACCCAGCATTCAACAGGCTCAATTCCAGCCAATTCACTGCAGTTCTTCATCCAGCTTTCAAGAGTGAAAGAATGGTACCATTCATGAAATCACAAATCAAATCCCATGATGAATCACTATTAACCACTATTAATCACTATCAACCAAAACTAACATTAATTATCATTAATAGTGGTTAATTATCATCATAGTTTCCAATCTGCACCAAGCGCAGTCTCCCATCTCGGCCCCGGACTTGAGAGGTCCCTCACGACTTGGCTCCGCCAAGAACAGGTCATCCTGCCCAGTTTGGTCGGCCATTGGATCGCCTGAAACCAATGGAAAACCCCAAAATGGGTTCTGGAAATCATAGTCCCTGTCTGAAACAAAAAATTGTTGTACATAGTAAACATGAATAAACCCTGTATATATATATTATATCATGATTCTTTATCATGGAGACCTCCCCATTTCTGAAGCCTAAAGTCCCTTCTTTCCATGGCGAATCTACCCATTTCATAGGGCGAAAACATCGCCGCCCGCGCAATTTTGGCGTCTCAACTGCCCACAGCTGACACGTCGACATCCTGCAAACGTGAAGCGATGTCCACGATGTTCAAGGCCTCTTGCCTTCGGTAAAAGTTGGCTGGTTCAACCCACACAATGGGTTTATTGGCTATCGGTACATAGAAATCCTGAATGGAGGCGTAACCAACCAAAATGATGAGAGCAACTATCAAGTATTGGAAAATATTGAAACGCTTGCAGTTGCAACCAAAGCTCCAGATCCGACTGGACTTCTCATCCAACGTAACAACCGCTTCATACCCAGGGGTAGTACAGTAAGTCCTTAAATAATCTTGCCCCCAGAAAACAACTGTGGCTATGCCTACCAACTACTTATGATTCCTGAAAGATCTGAAAGTACCATGCAAAACACATCAGTTCATAGGTCAAGCATCTCAGGCGCCTGAGGTCTTCTTTCAAACGACTATCCGTTGCCAGTGTGCCGCTTTCTTCCTGTCATACGTTGCTGGCCACGGCAGGGCACCCTTTCCTATGGGGATCAAACCATCGGCACGGGGGCCGTCACCTCACATCTGCCGGCAGCTCAAACCGATCAGAACTACCCGAGATTCGTAGGTCATCTCGGTCATCTCTACTTCTACTTTTGAGACTTGGAAGTCTTCCCTCCATTTCGAAAAATCGATATCAAGCCTTGCGAACTGGACTCATCCAAATCAACTCATCCACAGCACCCTATGAGGTCCGACCTCCATCTGCTGACGCAGCAGGGAGAAGATGGCCTTCATAAAGTGGGGCCAAACATTTCCCATGGATGTGCCCAAGAGCTACCACCTTACCATAGGGCCATAGGGCTTTTGATTTTGGGATATAGAGGTGACTGAAAAGTGAGGCTTCAATATACGTATAGATACAGATATATATATATATATATATATACGTGGTGGTACTAGCAAGTTTGTGTGCTCTCCTCTGCAGCAATGGCATTTTCATGTGACGCATGTGTCAAGGTGTGGAAGCATGCTTGACTTGGATTTTCCTCTCAACCCGGCTGTAGCAGGCTTGTAAGCGGCTTGTATAGGCCACTCCGCACTGTTCAACTGCGACCACCGACCTCTGGTGGAGTTTGGAAACTGGTTTTATCAAGACATGCTCTGGTAACATCGATATGCATCCGAGTTGGAGACCTCCAAATGCCATCGATTTCTTGGCTAGGTGATGTTCTTCCAAACCCAAAAATGCATGTCATCAGTGGCAGAAATGTGCACTTGCACCTTGAATTCAAAAAGATTGCATTTGCCAGACTCAGACTGAGGACTTTCTTCATGTCATTTTGAGCACCAGTTTTTTCGATCTCCGCATCAGTTCGGATTGATGTTTTGGCTGGGCAGAAAGCCAAGTTTCTTCACGCTGGGGGAGTTGCACATGTTCCCTTCCCTCAAGGTTTTTAGTTCAGCACAGCTAGGAAATTCAGATGAAACATCATGAAACCCCAAAAAATCGGAGTTGGAAACTGAAATTCCTATTTTGATGTGTCTTGGGTTTCTACAGTAAACCTTGTTCTCGGGGTGATCGTCCCTGGACTTTCTTCCTCCGTCGGCAGCACCTGCTTATCGGCGTCTCGGAAGGTGCTGCTGGTGTTGCTCCTAGCAACACGGCTGTCAAGTGTTGAGATCACCGACAAAGCACTGAGCATTGGCTGAACATGGAGGCAGAAGCATCAAAAAAGGGAGACATAATATGGGATAGTATGGGGATAACACGTATAAAACCAATAATAGTACATTATTTGATATCGGGACAAAAACCAGAATTGAATAGAATTGAAGCAACAGTTCAGTGGTGATCTAACCGAAACATGTGAGAAGTCCCTTGAAAGGGGGATAGTCGGGATACTTAGTGCTAAACTTCAACATGACTTGTCGTCCGGAATCTGGCCTTCGCTGGTAGAGCCACACAATCCACACGACCAAAGTCATGTTCACCAGCCTCAGCCATGGTGGTAGTCATAGATTGGACCCGCTTCCAGGATGCGAAATGCACAAAATGGATCAAAATGGGCACGGAAATCACGAGTTTGAAGCCTGGTTTCGAATGTTTCGATCTGGCTTCCAGAGACATTTCATGATATGACCAAGGGCATCCCTTGTGGTCCTACCGTTCATCGATGTCGCAGAAGTGAAGAACAACACGTCCACCACATGCTTGTTGATTGTAGGAGTGAAATCATCAAAAGATCATGGAAAAAAAGCCAAGGAATGTGCTCTGCTTGACTTAAAAAAACCTTTAAGCCAACCACCAGCATCACAGAGTCGCTTTCTCAAACGCTTTCGACTGGCAACTCTGCGCACAGAGTGGCTTTTCAAGTTTCTTATCTCTGGTTCCAAGTCGAAGTCGAGTGGCCACGGCCACCGTTTCTTCATGACATGTATGATCCATATGTATCCATACGTTTTGTATACTGTGTATATATATATAGTTTGTCATTTCCACAAAGCTGGACCAGGGGCTAGAGGTTGCAACATTTGCCATCCAGTCGTGTGGTTAGATCGGACTTGGCCAGTTGGAAGTGGGACGTAACTGTACAAAAAGTCCCTTCGTGGTTCGACGCATGCAAGTCCGCTCTGGGCAATCCAGAGCATGAGATATATTCCAAAACTGAAAGGAACCATCAAATGCATGCTAGTCCGATGGTTGGCTTTCCAACCATCTAAGTTGAAATCTAATTGCCAAGAATGAGCGCCTGATACTGGCCCGAAAACCGCAGGTGCTGTTTGCTGAATCTCATTATGATCAGCTTCCTCCAAGGCCGTCGCCGGAAATCACAACTTCGAGGCGGGAACAAGCGCCATGTAATTTGGAACGGCAAGTACTGGAATGAACTTGGAATCGTGTATACAGTATGTCTATATGTACATGTACAATCATGTACATGTGTTACCGTATTAGATCTGCATTGATATACTGATGTAGACATTCACACATTACAACGAGGAATATGCAAGAAATCATTTCATCTTATCCATTCATTCAGTTTTCTATTTGATCGGGCGCGGGGGTGCATAAGGCTGCAGCTTGGCCAGCTGTCCATCTATGTACAGCTGCCTTTTGAGAGCCACCTGGGCATCATCCGTACTGCCGAAGACCAGAAAACCATAACCTGATGGGTTGCGGACGATGGGGATGCACTGGCTGTGTCTGAAGTTTTGAGGGATGTATGATATTTGGTGATGCAATGATGTTTAGCCATTTTTAGAACTCTCAAGATGGCTAATTTATAACACACCATGATACACCATGGGAATCCATGGGATGAACTGCTCCAATTCTTGAGCAAAGCTAGCGCCTCGGTTCTTCGCTCCGTTCTTGGGGCGGAAGAGAGCAATCTTCTCCAAAGGCCTCTGGGCTGCACTGGAGAGGCTGTGAATGGCCATGTTGCACTATGAAGTGATGACAACTCCGCTTGGAATCGGGAGAATGTACCAACTTTGACACAGTTTGTCAATCTTCTCCCTGGAATCCGGAGTATCCCATCGCTTGAGAATTGCTGATGTTCACTCGGAAATGCCCGCTGCCTGTACTCATTGCATATCAGAGCAAACCTATCTTCAGCAATCGTGATGAATTTGACCATGCCAAATCAAGAAGGGTTGGCAAGCATACAGTAATATATATATATATAAGAGACCGAAAATGATCACCCAGTGCCACAGTGCATATGCAAAAGGGAGTGCAAAGGCCTACTAACCAGCAAGTGACTCTTGCCATGGCAAATGGACAAAAATGTTGCAGCTGGAATACCTCTACAAAAGGCTAAGCAGCTCGTATTTCTGGTCTTTGTTCTTTTTGGATTTTTGGGGGAATATAGTGTTGCCATGTGTTGCCAAGAAAATGTGGGATGGTCACCTGAAAAATTCCCGGATCCACCAGTCACAACTTTCAGGCACCAGCGCAGACAAAGCCAAGCGGCAACTCAGCCAGTTGGTTTCGGATCTTCTCCGATAACTTGTCAACATCCAAGCTTGTTGGAAGCTCTCGCGCGAAAACCTCAGGTTTCTTTAAGGGTGGCAGGGTTGGAACAGCTAACGGTAAATTGCCATTGAATGAGCCATGAAAAGGGCAGTGGTCAGTCAGTTCTGGCTACCAAGGCCTCATTCCCCAGGGTTGTGGCAATCTTTCTCGTCAATGACGCCTCCACCCAAAAATAAACATTATGCAAAAAACCTGAAGACTTTCTCCCAGGCCAGTTTCAACTATTTTCAACTTCCAGAATGAGTTTTTTCACGGACTCACAGGTGTCGCAGACCCTCCACAACCATCAATCCTGCACAGTGGCTGTACGTTTTTCGTCGTAGAGCTGTTCATCCGAGAGCTGGCCCTGAAAGGTGACGCCCATGTTTACGCCGGAACTGGATTGGATTTGGCTTCCCGGATCTTGCTTGTTTCAGCTATAGGAGATTGATTTCATGATTCTATGAAAACTACAAATGTTCAGATGCTCATCTTCCACCTGCTTCCATCAACCGAAATTTATTCAAGTGGCCTGTCAGAACTGGGGCCAGTCAAGCAAACATCCAAAGGCATCCAAAGGCTGCATCTCCATCATCTCAATCATCTCCCTCTTTCTCTCTCTCTCTCTTTTTTTCTCCCTCCCTCTCAGAGTCTCCCTCTCTCAGAGAAGATCAGGAGATCAAACTCTTCCCTCAACTCTCCAGTTTGCTTCTGAGTCTTCGAAACCGGTCAGTTTGTATGTGTTCAACCGTGCTGCAGCACTGGAGATCATATTTGGGATCTTCACCTGAAAACCTTGGCAGAAAATGTGGGTTGCTGCAACATCGTTGGAATCCGATTCGATTCCCTGTGACTTGCCCTGCAGAGCCTGTGGAAGTGTCCAGGGCGCCCGTTGCTGCCTCGCACCTCCTGTAACTAGCGACCTGCACCGATCCTCAGCCGGACACTTCGAAAATCTGTGGTCCCCTGCCGATGTTTCACGGTACTACCCAGTTTGAAGCCATACCCATTTATACTGCTGGTGTGTTGAGAATGGGATTCCCAAATCGCCAAGAAACTAGGTAGATCAATAACCTTTAAATACTATACTGCAATCCTACAATCATCAATACTATAATCCTACAATCATCAGCCAACCATCGTTTATCAATTACATCCGCATCTTTGCTGTTTAAAAAAAAACAATCGATGGTTCAATCTCCATCTCTTCCCCACGAGGGTCAACTGGACACTGCGAAGTTAAAACCCAACAATTCTGGTCTGATCCCCAGTATATATTGCAATGGCATCCCCACTATATGCTTCTGGGTCAAATACCGTGTGCTCTTCTGTTCACACCAAAATAGCTGACATTTACAGATGTTCAAACCCCCAAGTGTATGTAACAATCAAAGGTTTTGATCCATCCCCACTATACTCCAAGTATATGGATTTGTCTGGAAAATAGGGTATACCATTCCATTGGCGAATCATCATTTCCTACTTGAAAACAGCCGTTTAAGGTATATACCCTACGTTCAGACAAACCCAAGAACCATATTATTGGTTGTATAGATACCTATATATATATATATGTATATAGAGAGAGGGAGAGAGAGAAAGAAAGAAAGAAAGAAAGAAAGAAAGAAAGAAAGAGACAAATACATATATATATATAATAGATATATACACATTCACATTGATGTATTCTATAAACCATATCATGTATATCATATGTTTAATGGGTATTTTCCATTGTTCACATGATCTCACTGCCCAGCATCCAGCGCATTGGCCTCAGCCACTTTGCCCAAGCGCCGGAGCTCGGCAGCAAGGAGACCCAGGCGGCCTTTCAGCTCGGCCTCGCCTGGAGCAATGGCAGCAATGGCACTATCAAAAGGTAAACCTATGGTTAATCTATGGTTAATCTATGGTTAATATGTGTTACTATGGGTTAATGATGGTTAATCTATGGTTCATAAATCTGGGTAAATTATAATATTTCACTAACCTGAATTAAGGCCATTTGGGGATGATTTCCCTTATTAACTATGATTTCCAGTGAGGGAGAACAGTGAGGTCGTTATAATTTACCCAGATAAATGGTTAATCTATGGTTAATATGTGTTACTATGGGTTAATGATGGGTAATCTATGGTCAATAAATGTTGGTAAATGTTAATCTATGGTTAATCTACGTTTAGTATTGGTTTATGATGCTTATTAATTGGTGGTGATTAATGGTTGATAATGGTTATGAATCCACAGTGTTGGGAATGCCATTTCAAATGGAATGGATGAATTTGTTTCTGGGAAGATCCACAGGAAAACTTGAGGCCCGGGGGTAAGGGATGAAAGCTAGCTTGGCGGAGCTTGGCATGAAAACACAATGATGCTGAGGATGTGTATGCTGCCCAATTTGCTGCCGGTGACGACATGCCGATGATGTCTGCGAGGGGGATTGAGCCACGGCCAAACTGTGTGAACCAGCCAGCTGGGTGGGGGAGGGGGGAGGGGGGGGATGGGGGTAGTTAAGTGTGGAGTTTCATGCGATTGGAAATTCCAGCGCCCCAGCTGGCAGAAGCTAGCTTTCGTGACATGGTTCTCACGCCCGAAAATTACCATGTTTCCTTTTAAAAAAATGTCAAGCAATTAAGACATTTTAGGATGCGAGACGTGATTGCAACATCGCGTGTATATAATGTAAGTGTGTAATATGTAAAAAAAAAAACTACATAATGTCTATCATGTATATAATGCATAATATAATGTCTATATTGTATGTGATGTACATAAAATCATATATATGATGTACATCATGTATATAGTGCGTATGATGTATATTCTGAATGGAATGCATATAATGCATACGATGTATACAATGGTTTAATGCAAATAACTTATATTATGCACACAATATATATATATAATGTACACAATGTATAAAAGGTAAATAATATGTATAATGTATATCATGTATCTAAAGTATATAATGTGCATAATGTAAATAATGTATATCGTGTATACGATGTATATGATGTATATAATGTAAATGATGTATGTGATGTGATGTATATAATGTAAATGATTGAAATAGTGTATAGAATGTAAATTATGTATATAATGTAAATGATGTATATGATGTATATAATGTAAATGATGTGGATAACGGACATAGTGTACGTAGTGTACATATATTTACACCCCAAATATTCACCACTTCTGCTTCCAACCGCTCCTTCTTCATCCCTTGGTGCAACTGGGGCACTGCTTCCAGCACCACAGACTTCGCACCAGCGCTCCAGTGCTTCAGGTTCGCTCCAAGAGACCGCCAGCTCGCGCTCGCTGAATGGGGCCACCTGAACCAGACGTCCCCAAGGCGGCCATGGCGGGGCAGTTGGTAAGGAAACCTGGCTGAAAAATCGCCAAATTTGTGAATGCAAGATGGATGATGTGGGTATGGATCAATACCTACTAATACCTTTTTTAGGGGAATGAACATCCATTTACCAGCTATTTTGAGGTTCACCAGGGGTACAAGGTTTTGACACACTGCCATGTGCATTTGCTTTAGACCTTGAGTTCGAGACCTCCCATTTCTAGGTTGACTTCACGGCCACGGCCCAGTCCATCTGCGTGTCATCATCAAACCTTGGCCCAAAACCTATCTCCAACAGGAAGGATGTCCCCCTTCAGACAACAAATTCTTTTCGGGAGTTCCCCACCATCTCCGAACCTCAAAGGCAGTTCTGGCTCGCAGAACCTCCTGGCCCTTTGTTTGGCTCAAGTGGAACCAGCCTCACAATCGGCGAGTAGTTCCCAGGTGGTCGAGCCAGGTTCAACTTGGCGCCAACTACGCGTTTGAGAAGAAGTCTGAAATCATTACAACCCATTGGTCATACACTACGCTACACTTACTTGTTCATGTGATTCGAGATCTTACACTGGCTGGTGGCTCCAAACAACATGCAGCTGCAGTATTCGTCTATTGGGAACACCATAATGACGGGGTCTGGAAATCCCCACCTGGTAAAGGCCTATCGTCAACAGTATAGTTTTGAAGCCACATGATCAGGTGGTTGTTCCGACCTCTTCCAACTTTTGGGGTTGTTTTGAATTAGCCATCATTTATGGTGAGACCATTGCCCAGAGTTTACACCCCGGAAGAGATATGCAATAATACGCCCAAGACGAACATGATCTTCCAGACCCTGCGTTTAGGGCTCCCCCACCGTGCCTTTTTCTTCCCTAAAGAAGTCCTTGCTCAAACGAATCCTAAGCTGCAAACAGTGAGGGATTCCAGGTCCCTACCCCAAAATTTGCTGCATGGAATGAGTAACTGATGGAAGATCACCCAACAAAAAATGAAAATAACCTGAGAAAAATAATCTGAATTCCAGCCAAAAATACTTGGGATGCTAGGCAACGGAAAAGGGGGTGCAATCAGTAAAAATGCTGACAATCTGGCAGTTCATTTTCTGAATGCAGTTTATCCCAATGGTGGACAAACTCTGATGAATTTGTGGTTTCCCACATTATCCCAAGCAAACACCCCATGACATGGTTCCACCGTTTCCACATAGCATCAAAAGGACTTGTGTTTGGGCAAACCCACTAGGCCGTCCCATAGATTTCTACGTAAGGTTCAAAACTCGTGACTGTGGTTTCCTGCATGTTCATCCAGTTTTGGGGTATTCAATCTGCAATTCCTTGTGGCATTCGGATGTTTCTTGGTTTTCTCCTCGATTGACCCATACCGATACCCATATCATTCCTGCTAGCATTTCGTTTTGTACCGTTGTACCTCCATTGTTGTTGGGTCAATCCCCACCTCTTGTTGTTTCAATCGCCATTTCCTGAACTCGCCAACTCCTAGATCCAACTTGCCAGCTGGCTCCAGCATGCGTGCTTGCTCTCGGAAGGGCACGCCGCGCGGATCCAAAAGCCCTGCTTCGTTCTGCTGCTGATGCTGACTGGGTTTGGGGGAAAATTCAGGAAGAACCACACATGGAGGAACCATGTTTAGTAAACCACCCAATTTTGGAGGTGCCTTATTTTCCATACCACTCCCCGATGGTGATGCTATAAATGAGTAAAGACGCAAACATACATGGATACTTGTATGTATACAAGCAACTGTGTGTGTGTGGGAGTGCGGGAAGAAGCTTCCAAAAATCGAATGGAAATGCCGGACAGAGAAACTTTAGAGGCACTGCGCACTGCCAAAGCGAGCCCCAAGCAGTATAAGTTCGTGCAATGCAACAGTGGCTTTCTTGGTCCCAAAACTAGACCTCCAAATTTGGAGCCTGCAGTGTGTCTTCCGCAAAGAGCGCGGTCTTGCTTTTGGAACCAAATTTGGCCGCATTTTTGGGGCCCAAATGCATGTTTGCAAGTGATATTTTCCTTGCTAGACATAGATATTCGAACACGGCGGCGGAGTGGTAGCATGGCAAGATATTATAGAAGCAAGGGACGCGCCAAAGCACAATGTTGAGGAGGTGCTTGCAACACCTGAAGCCATGCTACTGTGCATATATATATACACACAAACCCACATACTAGCATTGGAAATACAACCCCTATATTATGGTCTGGTGAACCCTGCGGTCACTTGAAACAACTGCAAAGGTTCCCTCGTTCCACTTTCAGCTCAGATGTGCTCGAACTCTGGTCCTTTTGACACGCCAGAAAAGTGTCATGGCACCATTGAAAATCTCATCTGGAAATCTGGGAATCCATCAGTGGCTAGAGTTGTGTGAATCTTCCAGGGGTATGATAGGTTCATTTGTATTAATTTTTTACATGTCAGCCCGAAAGTTTGGAGATCTAAACTAAACCCTCAAGCACATACCACCAAATACGCAATAAACAAAGAAGATCATGATTGATGCGGTACACGGAACCAGAAACGCCCTTGTAGGTATGTGGTTTAATACCCCCCAAATGACAAACTTGGATGAATGCGGGTTAGTTTTGGCTTTACCTTGGCGTACCACATCATGAATTTCCCCCCATGCCTCCCATCTGCTGCAACGGCAGAGGGCCATGCTTCAGCAGCACACCATGAAGCTCAGTGACGAAGGAAAGCAGGGCCAAGTCTTTTGCCTCGCAGTCCTCGAGACATCACGGATGTGTAGATGTGAAATACAAAAGCGAGGCTCAAGAGGTGGTACATATGATTTGGAGACACGTGATGTTTTTATGTAATATCATACGCACACTGTACATAATCAGGTGGTATCATCTGGCATCATGTGGCATCATGTGGCATCATGTGGCGTCGTGCATCATCACCCTCGTTGTCATCATCAGCAGCAGCATCATCACTGTCATCAGCGCCATCAGCGTCATCAGCGTCAACCCGGGCTGGATAGGCATCATAGAAAACATAGTTGGCATCATGGAAAAACAAACAAATACATTGCACGTCGTTGAATATATATATATATATACAAAAAACACACAGTATGTGCACCGTTTATTATATATATACGTATATTCTGAACTTCATCAGCATTACTATCAGCATCATAGCAAACAGCAGCACGATCAATGGCAGCTGCTACACGAAAGACTAAGAATACTCATGACAAGGAAACAACGACATCGAAGTATGCTCAAGACATGCTGCACTCAATATTGGAGTGTGAATCTTCAAACTGGCCACAATCCGTGGGCTTTCGATGAATCTCAAATCTTGATAGAATCTCAAATTGCAATATTTTGAGCTCTCCAAGTAAACCTAGAGAAACTTCACTAAATCCAAAATCCATGTAAATCCATGTACATCCATAATATTCCATAATTATCAATCATTACATATAAATCCTCCTAAATCCCCAACTCCTCTCCTGCATCTGGAGCTCCGGTCCTCCGTGCTCACTGCAGCATCAACTGCCGCCCAGGACCTTTCCACCATTTCCAGCACAGCCGCGCCATCCTTCGGCAGCTCCGGCAGCTCCCGAAGCAACGGCGCGCAGAGCCACAGAGTGAAGAAGGCATCGTCCCGGGCATACTGCAACTGCCTGGCCGTGGAGAAGTTGAACTTCAGTAGTTTCACCACTTGTTAATCAAGTTGTTAACTTCAGCCAACCAATCAATATGGGATTTGTTTGTTTGGAGTTTTGTTCCTCTTGTTGGTCAGCTGCTGTAGAGTACAAAAAATTGCTGGAGTTAGAACTGATTTAGTTTGACCTCAATTCCAACTGGACTAATTCATCTCCACCGTTAAGCCTAGTTGTCTCCACCGACCTACCTATGGTTTTCGGGGGCGTGGCTATGGCAGGATGTGGGATGGCATACTGAAAGTGCCACTAGACTAGACTGCAGTTTTGGTAACGAAAATCGAAGATTTTTACATCAACTGTGACTGTATACACTACTTAATATACACACATGCATTCAAAAGGTCATGTACACATTCAGAGTTGGGTCAAGTCCTTTGGGTAGCCATGGATCCTTTTTTAAAGCCTGTCGTCAATGGAGCATCTGAAACCACCAGGGGGATTCTGAACTGACCCATACCGAGCAATGTTCAAAAACCTCCGTCATCCCCAAACCTACTGATTGGCTGAGAGCAGTGTTCCCATGTCAAGAGTCATCATAGTCCCCAGTACAAGCTCCCATAAAAAAGCCATCAACGTAGACTTTGGCCGCTGCTCAACTACCGGATGGTATGGGTCAGTTCATCAGCCATGATCATCCGGGTATGGGTCAGATTACCCTGGTATGGTCTTCACACTAAAGAGGGAGGATGGTCCCATAGCATCCCGATGGTACTGATCCCCATGACCGAAGGCAGTTCTGCGTCGGACTGTAATCATTCGCATGGAAATGGTTTCATAGTCTGTGTATTCAGCAATCCACAGGGGTTTTGGTGGTGGCTTGGTTCCATCCCCGCCATGCCATGGTGTGTAGAGAGAGAGAGAGAGCGCGAGAGAGCGATAAAGAGAACGATAAAGAGAGCGAAGAGAAATAGGGGAGAGGAGAGAGGGTCTCTGTGATTGGAACCTAAAACTGGAAGTTCTATGTGGCCGGGCTCCATCAGCTCCCCAGGCACCTCGTTGACAACGTGGTTGCCGCCCAATTGGAGATGCTGATCTCTCTGTCCTGGGTCGAACTTGGGGGTCTTGCTTCAACCCCATCGGCAAAAAAAAATTCTATCGCAACATTTTGTATGATATATATATATAAAGGAGTTTTTAAAAAAATGTGGAGCCCACCACCTTCCCAGAAAAAAAATCATACCAGTCATACCCAACTTACAAGTACTTACAGACCCAACTCCCAACTTTCAACCAGACTTTTCTACTTCACCCATGGCATGCAGAAATCCGGGCCTTCTCTATCCGCAGGCCATAGCGTTGCGCCAGTTTTTTGAGGCCACAGCCTGAAAAGCGCAGGTGGAAAATCTAACATCCCCAGAACCTTTAGGAGAAACTCAGTAAATTTTAGGCTGGAGAGGAAATATCAGATTTTGAAGTGTTGGCGAAATTTAGAATGAAAATGAATGAAATATTGACAAAAAGCTGTATATTTGGGCCCCTTAGAATCGACTACCAGAGGGCAGGGTGGTTTGGAATGGAAGCAGCTCATCGGTTGGAAATGGAGCCTGTTTGCCCAAGTGTACTAGTTGATGGTTTCAACCTGTCGGAACTAGGCTTAGAAAATCTTGAAAATATGGGTGTGTCTCCAAATTTGGTCCCCCAAAATTAGATGGTTGATCATCTTTTTCGACAACGGTTGGGAGCGGTTTCCCCCATTTTCACACCCAAAAACCACATTCTCCGTTTGATACCCTCTGGTAATTTAACATAGCTATTGAAAATTGCCATTTATAGTTGATTTACCTATTAAAAATGATGATTTTCCATAGTTATGTTAGTTTACCAGAGGGTACTCCACAAAAAATCTCCACTACGTCCAGTCGTGCCTTGGATGTCTAGCCCCTTTGCCAAGGTCGAGATATCCAACAGGCCTTCGAAAAGATGTGCAGCGATGTCTGGATGTGTTGAGATGTGAAATCACAAAATTATATCAAATAGATAAATGAAGATGTATGTGTATATCATATTTAACAATAATAGTAATAAGAATAACAATATCTGGTTGTTTTTTTTTGAACCCCTTTGAAAAATATGAAAGTCAGCTGGGATTATTATTCCCAATATATGGAAAAAAATAAAAGCCGTGTTCCAAACCACCAACCATCTATAATAGTACCATCTGGTTATTTAACATAGCCATGGAAAATCCACCCATTTTTAAGAACGGTAAACCATCTACTGTATTTCTATGGGCCATCTATACCATGGCTATGTTAGTCATAACCAGAGGGTAATTATAATCTCAGGTCAACTCTCGGGGAACTCCGAAACACAAATCCACGAGGCCGGATGCGACTGACGTCCCATAGCCAATGAGATTCGAACACGATCTCGACGTCCGAAGAAATGGTGGTACTGTAGCATTTGCATCGTATAGTCATATCACTAGTTCGAGTGTTGAGAATGGAAAATGACAATTATAATGAGATATCAAGAAGGTTCTCAACAATAGCATGTAACAATATGTTGATGAAAGCTGTCAGAATAGCGGATGTGCTGCACAACGAAAAATCTCACACATGTTCAAGCGCTAAAAAAAGGTCCCCCCTTGTGAAGATTCCTATCTCGCAAACCTATGTTTGTTCCCTAACAAAATAAAAAAGAAGGACCCCATCTACTTAGATGTGCATCCTAGTTGGTAAATGGGCCATAGTGGCTATATCCTATAATATGTATTTTATATATATATATAGACATTATGTGTGGATATATATATATATATCATACTAACTATGTATATCAAACATAGGTATATTATACCTATATATAACTGACGTATAACATGTATACTGTATAACCATTATCAAAAATAGCTATCCCCATCCCCATCCCGATCCCCTCCTGGCCCCTTCTCGCTCCTTCACAGCTTATTCCGAAGGAGCTCTGCAACTTCTTTCGATCTGCCGAGTCAAAGGACACGGCCAACTTGGTGACCTGGGCTCTCCGTAGAGCCGGGCACAGGATGGTGGGGAATTTCTTACGTGGCAAGCTGGGAAATCTCCGAACTAAATGAAGGTTTCTTGCTAGGAAAGTCATCTATCAATAGTGGATTACCGGAGGGGAAACATGGATTTCGCACTAGAAGGAAGCAATGTATGGTACATATCATTAGTACTGTGCCCCTTTAAGAAATGCGATTATTGGCAAGTCGGAAGGGCAAAGCCATGCCTAAGCACCTGCTTACGAAAAAACAAACAGTACAAGACACAACTGCAGTGGCTCAATGAGTGAACCTGCAAAAACCCGTGTCAAGCCTCTGCAAGAAAACCCTTCCCTCTTCTGAGTACTCAAAAATGGCGTTCACTTAGTACACAAGCAGAGACAGGGAATCACAGGGACTTGGATGTTTCATTCTCTATAGGTGGAAATCAGATTCCTTGATCCATGCACCTAGCCATGCAGTCAATCATGAGCACAGTCTGATATGGACTATGGTAGGCCCAGAAAAGCATAGAAAAGTCACGTATCACTATTTAATTTTAGTAGATGTTATAGCAACTATAACAGTAATACTATCACAACATGATGTTCGTTCAGTATCACTATTTTGTCCCCTAATCACTATCATGATGTTCGTTAAATAGACCACATTGACTATATATATATATAGTAGATGCGAAATACCACATATGCTATCACATATCACTTTTCTATGCTATAGATTGCTATAGTAGATGTTAACTCTACTTGTATCTTTCTTGGGGGATTGCTATATACAACATACCCCAATGACACTGGATCAGTGACAGATGGATCCAGGAAGATCTCTCGAAGCTCCTGCGGTAGAGGGATCTCCTTAGCCACCACTTGGGTTACATTTCGACGGGGGTAGAGGGACCCCCTTCCAGATATAGTGGAAACCCTTGAATTGAAAAAGTTTGAGGATGGTTTGGGGTTTATATACCCCTTAAATCAGTGATCAATTGCTATTGGTATCCTGCGTATCAATAAACTGGTGGTGTCTTAAATCTGAAGCCCAAAATGTCAAATACCAGCACCCCTTTCTAGAGCTGTAAGTACAACGAACATCAACGAACTAAGGATCTTAAGTTACTTGAAGATTTAAAGAAAAAATAGCTGCGGCCCATCGCTACTGTAGGGGCATTGTATTCCTGGGGGCTGACCCATTGGATCACTCTTCAAGGTCTCAAAACGCCCGAGAACTCTGAAGGGACCATGCAAGGATCTTCTGTGTTGGTGAAGTGACCATCAGTAGAATGGAATGAGGAAATGCGGAATTGCGACCTATGGAGCATAGATCAACCCTCTCCCTCTCTCAGTCTGCACTTTGTTCTTGATCCAAGACTCGCAGGTGCGAAACAGCCACACGCTATCTCCAACTGCAATCTGAATCAAGGCCACTTTGTTGTTCTGGTTTCTGCTCCTGCGTTTGAACAGGGAGGAGCAACCCTTGGTTTCAGCCACCAGAGGTACCCAAGGCAACAAGGCTCCTGTCTGGAACCCATTCCATGTCTAAAGCCAGCAGGTTGGAGTGTTCCGCCTCAGAAATTCACCAACCCTCTATGCTTTGGCTTTGAGTCCCTGCAATCATGAGCCCTTGCTAGTTGGAGGTGGTTTCATCATCCACTCTCAACCCCTAGTTCACACGAGGGGTAGTTCACAAAATGCAGCATTGCTCGGCAAACAGCCCTGGTGAAAGCTGGCAAAATCCTGACTATCCAATTGAATCCAGTTGAATTATGATGACCATCCTCCTGCAGCCTCCAGTCCAACCGCAACAACTCCCCTAGTGTCTCAGAAGAGATGGGAAGCTCAGGTCCACCATGGGCAACACACCGTCATGACCAAGTGCTGTTCTTTGACACACCGTCAACAGGAGACGTGGTCACCGAGGGGACCATGCGCTACATTTCAAAACATTCTATATACTCTTGATCCATCTTGATCCATGTTAGCTAAGTGTCCACTTTTCTGTTGCAGGACTTTGCTGAACATCATCTCACATATCCAGCCACGGCGCCAGCTTCTTCCAGACATCTGCCATGGTAGTCTGGATGTTTGTCTTTGCATGCACCAAATGGCAGGGCCCAGCATGTCGGTGGAACACATGTGACGGTGCCATGGCACAGATTCGAAGCGATCACCCCTGTTCAGCGCTTTGGCCGAAGGGGAAGCGAATGAAGCACTACTTTGACCCACATGCAACATGCAAGGGTTGAAAAGGGCACGGACAGAAACCAACCAGGGATGGATCGGATGGATCAAACGTCCCATCTTGGATGGGTCCATGCTCCCCATGAATCACCAGTTGGTTCCCAAGCAAGACTGTCGTTTCTGCTTTAAATCCTCAAAATATTTGATCCGAATTCATGTTATTTCGTTGTGAAATTCCAATTAAATCGCCAGCTTATCATGGTGAAATTCCAGTGGTAACCGGTGACCATCAACCACCAGGACCACCGAGTACCAACGGGTGCCCCAGACCATGCTGCGCCCGCATTGGCGCGCAAGCGTTGTAGCTCCTCTTCTGACCTGAAATGCCAAAAGGTGTGCCACCAGGATGGTAGTTCGATGATTTTCCCCATCGTTTTCCAGTTTTGTGCAACTTTTCGGCATCTTTTTGGGGTGAGAAAAACGAATTTCAACCCTATAAACCAATTTTGAGATGAAAAATATGGAGTTCACCCCTCATGGGTTCTTAGGGGTGGGTATTTGGCTGATTTCAGCCACACAAACTGGAATTTCAGCAAAAAATAGGGAGTTCATCGCCTTCATCGCCAATAAATGGGGATTGAAGGAACAAAAAACAGATTTGAAGCAGCTGAAGTGGGCATGGAACCAAGAATGATTGGGTGAAAAAAAACAAGCATCTATCGGAGCAAATAGACCTCATTTGGAAACGAAAAAAACTTGCCAAGAAATTACACATCCAATGAGATTCCTTACAATAGATGAAAACGTGTCCCTGAGATGTTTAGCACCGCAGGATTAAAATTAAGTCTCCTGATTTGTGACACTACCATATTTAAGAATAAGTCCTGCATCTGTCCAGACTCCCGATTCAACCTGGTATTGGGACTGCACTGGAGAACATCGGACATCCCGCAGCCAGCAGCTACTTCAGCAGCGCCTTTTTTTGGCCCTTCCAATCGCCACTTTGGGCTCAGCTTGGGTGGGACCCATCGGTACTTGCCATAGAACCACCTTGGTCAAGGCCATTTCGCAGTGGGAGAGCAGAAAAAAAAGGCACCAGTTCCTTTTTGCTGTGAAAATACCTCCCAACAAGAACTGTGAACCACAATGGAAGAAGACAGGGGTCGTTCGATATTTACAGTGCATTTACAATACACATTTTGGGGGTTTGCATATCGCCTTTTGATGCCTAGTGATTAATCCCCCCCAACCTTGGAGGGTTGACTTGGATCGACCGAAACGAAGAAGGAAGTGGCCACCCAACCAGAATCGTTTGTCTTGTTGATTGAAGTCTATGTTTCAAGGGCGCCGAAATAATGCCACAAAACACCCAAAATAATTGTGCATTAAATGGACCAGAGATCGGGCCGCGAGTTCCAATGGATGTACTCAACAACTTGGAAGAAAACTGGCGACTTTCAGGGGTGAATTCGCTACTTCGCTGTCTGCCAGAGCATCCCGACGTCACAGCGGCCGTGTAGAGAATATTCCTGGAAGTTTGGGATTTTTCTGTGCTACTTGGGTCTTGACCAAACAGTGGGTTGCTTCATGGTCGTCCTAAGCCCTAAACCAGTGCCGCACCCCAGCCATCGGGAATCGTCGTCCCAATTTAAACTATTTTTTCAACATGTTTATGTGTCAATGTATCTACCACCAACACATATCCAAATGTGTAAATAAACACGTACCTATGTAGATATATACATACATACATACATACATACATACATACATACATACATACATACATACATACATACATACATACATACATACATACCATACCATACCATACCATACCATACCATACCTTACATTACATTACATTACACTACATTTTGTTACATTCATACATACATACATACATACATAAATTACATACATACATACATACATACATACATACATAAATTACATACATACATACATACATACATACATAAATTACATACATACATACATACATACATACATACATACAACATACATACATACATAAATTTCATACATACATACATACATACAAACATACATACATACATACATGCATGCATGCATGCATGCATACATACATACATACATTACATACATACATACATACATACTTACTTACATACTTACGTACTTACTTACATTACATTACATTACATACATTACATACATTACATACATTACATACATTACATACATTACATACATTACATACATTACATACATTACATACATTACATACATTGCATACATTACATACATTACATACATTACATACCTTACTTACATTACATACACATACATTACATTACATACATACATACATACATACATTACATACATTACATACATTACATACATTACATACATTACATACATTACATACATTACATACATTACATACATTACATACATTACATACATTACATACATACATACATACATTACATACATACATACACATACGTACACACGTACACACGTACATACGTACATACGTACATACGTACATACGTACATACGTACATACGTACATACGTACATACGTACATACGTACATACGTACATACGTACATGCGTACATACGTACATACGTACATACGTCCATACGTCCATACGTCTATACATCCATACATACAATACAAAACATAACATGCATTACATACATTACACACATACATCCATACATGCATACATGCATGCATGCATACATGCATACATACATACATAACATAACATTACATTACATTACATTGCATTGCATTACATTACATCACATCACATCACATTACATACAAATACATACAAATACATATAGATACATACAAGCACATACAAATCAAAAAAAACAAATACGTACAAATACATACAAATACGTACAAATACATCAAGTATTTACAAATACACGCAAATATATACAAATACATACAAATGCATACAATTACATACAATTACATACAAACAAATATATCCATGTCTGCATGTATAGAAGTCACACTTCCGACAATGTGGAGACATGGAAGAAGCAGAGGTGGGCTGAGTCAGAGAAGAGAAAAGAAGAAGAAAGAAGATCGGAGAAGAGAAAGAGTCAGAAGAAGAAGAAGAAGAAGAAGATGCAGGAGCGCGAAAAGGTAAAAAAGTCGCGAAACAGTGTGTTTTTCCAATGCTTTGTGGCCCAGGAGGGTCGAAAAGTAGGCTCGCTAAAGCGGCGGGTGCGGAGCCATCTGGTCAGCTGAGCGATCAAAAATTGCACGCCGTTGTGGCGCGAGCAAATGTCGAAAACACCTCAGCGTGGGAACACTTTGAAGTTGAGATGTTGAACGCCGTTGTGGCGCGAAGCACGTTTCGAAGCCAAAACCTACAACAAAACACACCATGTTCAGAGCATTATTGGAAGTTGAGATGTTGAAAAAGTGCATGCCGTTGCGGCGCGAAGCACATTTCCAAGTCAAAACCATTTTTGGAAACTGACATGTCGAAAAAATTGCATGCTGTTGTGGCGCGAAACAAATTTGGAGGTCAAAAGTGTGAAAAAAACTGACGGTCTCGGACCACTTTCGGACGCTGAGATGTCGAAAAAGTGAACACTGACACTAACACCAACACTAGCACTAACACTACAACTGCACCTGCAACTCCAACTACAACTACACGCTCTAAAAGACACTACAACAACAACTAGACATACACTACAACTTCAACTACCACTACAGCTACAGCTACGACTACAACTACACGACACTACTCTAATCTACGCTACACTTGCTACAACACACTAATTACACTACACAAATTGCACTACACTCCAGCGACAACCACAACCACACTTCACTACACCACCACACTTCACTACACCTACGCGACGCTACACTGCGCTGCATTGCGCTGCGCTGCACTACACTACAATGCAAATACAAATACCGCTACCACTACACCTACAACTACAACTATACTACAACTCACTACAACTACACTACAGCTACAACTTCAACTCCAACTACACTACACTACAACTGGAACTACAACTACACTACACTAATCACTACAACTACACTACACTACATCCGGCAGCTGTGCATCCGGTCCGGTGACCACTGCAACCACTCCAAAAAGCGGGGTCGCTCTGCCATCCATGCGTCGCAACAACCAAACCTCTCCTATGGGTTTCCTATCTTTGAAACTTCCGCCACCGCCTGGTGCGGTACTACATACATGTACGGGTTGTATAGGTATAAACGACGTGTGCTCTTTGGCAGATTCAGCCAAGCATCGTTGTGATGTACAGGAATGTGGCTGCTGGCAGAGACCCAGCTGTCCATGGTACCTGGGGTCGAGGGAGGATGGATACTGTCCTGGAAAAATTGGGAAGTTTCTTTGGGGATCCCCAAAAATGGTCTAATGACTTGGGCAAAATGGAAGAATTAGGGGGTTCCTGGAAGAATTAAGAATTGGGGGTTCTTGAGTCAGCACAGGTTTCAATACTAAACCTGCAAAGTCATGATCATCCATGACGACTGGATGATTTGGGGTACCCCCATGACTTTGGAAACCATGGACCAGCATGGAAGATCCAAAGCCACCAGAGCTTCCATTGGAATGTTCCACCATCCTGGGTTCCTTACGAATGTGAGGAAGGCGCCTCTCACCACCAACTTCATGTACTCAGCATTGGACTCCTGTGACCCGCAGATCATCCACTGCATTGAAATACGATCGAAGATGACGGCTGAACACATTTTTGCCACACCAATGACTTTTGGTAATTTTGGTGGATCTCCCAACTGTCTGGTTAATATCCCCATGGTTGGCTATGAATAGCCAAACTCTTGCTGATGCGTACTTCATCTTTTATACCAGTAGTACCGCACAAGGCGATGGCGGAAGTTTCTAGTGTAGTGTAATGTAGAAGAGTGTAACGTTGTGGGAGCCCCATGTCTACACTGTTTTGTGATGTCTTCAACAAACTATGACTGTTTATCTTGAATGTTCTTCGATCTTCTACATGGTTCAACATGAGAAATACACACTCCATTGAATACATCCAAAAGTACAAAACAAATCATGCGCAATGAGATGTCAAAGCTTTCTGGGATTGGATTTGTTTTTGCATGTTGGGCTTTAGAAAAAACACATTATACCAACATCATCTTCACCATTATCATCATCATAAAGTGCTAGGAGCAGGCACAGATGTCGATGAAGACGGTTTTGCTTGGGGAACCTGGGTAGGTGATAACCAAACTCTAGTTGACACTCTCCGGATCGATTCTCTCAACCATTTTTTCATGACCCCTATGGTCTCGAACTGAAGGCAATCAAAGCTAGTGATTGATAGTCAACACATTGGCTGACTAGAGCTACATTGATAAGCTAAACAATAAAGATACGGGTTGTGAAGGTGAACTGACTTTGTCACACCAACAAACCCCGTTATAGAATTGGTAAAATATGAATCGGGTGCTCTGCCAACAAGCCATTTAACACCATCACTATAACAACAAGAGAGTACAATCTCAACCATAACCAGTCAGCAATCAACAATAGTGAATCAACAGCATGCATCGTGACACACTAATTGTATGTAATACTCTAGGAACCATTTATCAATATAACACACTGGTTCAACCTCACTCCAACAAAACCTGAGGAATTTTCCCGAGGACTCCTCGCGAGCATCAAAGGCCAAATAGCACAAGCTGCTACGATCTACAGTGCAGATTCTCACACAAGGCATACCATTAAATAACATGTTCTATCATATTGTGGCATAATATGGTGTGAGATATTGCAAGACGTGCAAACCAATCCACAAAAATGCCCATCTCACGTTTTGCTGTATTTCCAAAAACGTGGTAAAATGGGGTCCCCGTGGGGTGACTTTCTGTAATGTACAGTCGTTGTAGTTGCAGCTGTAGTTGTAGTTGTAGTGTTAGGTGTGTTGTAGTTGTAGTTGTAGTTGTAGTTGTAGTTGTAGTTGTAGTGTAGTGTAGTGTAATGTTGCTGCAGTTGTAGCTGTAGCTGCAGCAGTAGTAGCAGCAACAGCAGCAGAGGTACAGAAGTAGCAGTACCAGCAGTAGCAGTAGCAGTAGCAGTAGCAGCAGTAGCAGCAGTAGTGCAGTAGTAGCCGTAGTAGCAGTAGTAGCAGCAGCAGCAGTAGTAGTAGTAGTCGTCGTCGTCGTAGTAGGAGTAGTAGTCGTCGTCGTCGTCGTAGTAGGAGTAGTAGGAGTAGTAGGAGTAGTAGGAGTAGTAGGAGTAGTAGTCGTCGTAGGAGTAGGAGTAGGAGTAGTAGGAGTAGGAGTAGTAGGAGTAGTAGGAGTAGTAGGAGAGGAGGAGGAGGAGGAGTAGGAGTAGGAGTAGTAGTAGTAGTAGTAGGAGCAGTAGCAGCAGTAGCAGCAGTAGCAGTAGCAGTAGTTTGTTGTTGTTGTTGTTGTTGTTGTTGCTGTTGCTGTTGCTGTTGTTGTTGTTGCTGCTGTTGCTGTTGCTGTTGCTGTTGCCGTTGTCGTTGTAGCGCTTAATTAATGTAATTCGTGTAAGTAGTGTAATCAGTGTAAGTGTAATTAGTGTAATTAGTGCATTTGGTGCAATTCGTGCAATTAGTGCAATTAGAGTAATTAGTGTAGCGTAGTGTAGTGTAGCGTAGTGTAGTGTTATTAGTGTAGCGACATGTAGCGTAGTATGTTTGCATTTGCATTTGTAGCTGTAGTTCTAGTGTAGTGTAGTGTGGTATAGTGTAGTGTAGTGTAATCGACAAGCTTGAAAACGAAGATATTCTGCGAGACTTCATTCATGTTTGAACTTGAAAACATCAAAAACGCAATTCTGCGAGACTTCCTGAATTTTTGAATTTGACAATGTCAAAAACGAAGCAATTCTGCAAGACTTCCTCAATTTTCGAAATTGACAACGTCAAAAATGAAGCAATTCTGCGAGACTTCCTCAATTTTCGAAATTGACAACGTCAAAAACGAAGCAATTCTGCGAGACTTCCTCAATTTTCGAAATTGACAACGTCAAAAACGAAGCAATTCTGCGAGACTTCCTCAATTTTCGAAGTTGGCAACATTAAAAAAAAAACAATTTTACGAGACTTCCTTCAAAAAAATGAGTGCAGAGCTGACGGCCTCGTGCCAATGCCATCTGTCTAGATAATTGCGCCTGCCACGAAAAAGTGAAGCCAGGTCATACTGAATGCTGCACCTGTCAAGCAAAATCGCAGAGCTGATGGCCTCGTACCAATGCATTTTGTGATTTTTCCATTCCATCTGTCTAAAGTATTGCGCTTGCCACGAAAAAGTGAGGCCAGGTCAGACGAAGCGCTGCACCTGTGATGCAAAATCATCTTAGCAAACCTGAGGATCTGATGCTCCAAAAAATGCAACCCCTCTCAGGAAATCAGCGCCCGGACCTCCTTACATCTCTGATGAACATGTCTCTTGTATTGCGCCTACAACGCGAAATGCATCTTGGCAGATCCTCTTCAAATGCTCCATGCCTGCCAACGTCTTTGAAACTGTTACAAAAACCCTCACATGTTACTCATTTTTGGCAAGGTGCAGAATCCCTTGCGCTTGCCACGCGAAACCACATCTGAACTTTCAAAAGTGGTCCGAGCATGTGGCGTTTTTAGCATTCTGACTTCGAAATGTGCTTCATGCACAACGGCGTGCACCTTTTCGACATCTGAACTTCCAAATGTGCTCCGAGGCTGATGTGCTTTGTACATTTTGACTTCGAAATGTGCTTCGCGCCACAATGGCGTGCACTTTTTCAACATCTGAAATTCCAAAGTGCTCCGAACCTACACTTTTGGCTTCGAAATATGCTTTGCGCCACAACCCCGTGCACTTTTTGAACATCGCAACTTCGAAAAGTGCTCCGAACATGAGGTGCTTTGTGCATGTTGACTTCAAAATGCGCTTCGCGCCACAACGACATGCAACGTTTCATCTCTCATATCCCCAGCTGGCTCCGCACCCGCCGCTTTAGCGAGCCTACTTTTCGACCCTCAGCCACAAAACATTGGAAAAACACAGTGTTTCGCGACCTTTCTACCTTTTCGCGCACCTGGATCTTCTTTCTTCTGACTTTCTCTTCTTCTTCTTCTTCTTCTTCTTCTCCTTCTCCTTCTCCTTCTCCTTCTCCTTCTCCTTCTCCTTCTTCTTCTTCTTCTTCTCCTCTTCACCTCTGCTTTTCCATCTTGCTTTTCCATCTGTCCATATTGTCAGAAGTTTGACTTCTAAACTTCCTTCGATGATTAGGTATGTTAAAGGCCAAAGTCAAGAACCTAGTGGGTCCATCCTGTGTATCTGGGATAAAAAGTTCTCCTTGTATGAGTCCGATAGCCGTGTATATTATGATTGCGCGCAGCTTGGGAAAATCCATGAGTTTTCACTTTCAACTAGTGGCTACCCAAGTTTCTTGACTATCAAAACCTGACATACCCATTGAAACAAAGCAAACATGAAAACTCTCCACGCAGCATCTGTAAATGGATACAAGGAGATACAAGGAGAGGATGTTACATTGCTATGCTATAAAGAATAATCCCCCTTCTACCTGATCCCAAAATGAACACATCGAATGCTAAACCGGGATTTCCGCTGGGGGTCCAGTTTCAGAGAGGAAGGAGTAATACCGAGTTATCCCGTATTAAACCAGGTGGTATAATTTTGTGTAGAACAATAAACTTCCAACCAAGAGGGTGGGCTATTGCATTTACCATCAGTCAGCATGGATGTTTATTACATAGTTTCTCCTTTTCTTCCTCGGCGCTTTAACCCATTATAATGAAATTGCTGCTCTTTGACCACCATACACCACCAGGATTGGTTTTTGACCACCAGTACACCACCAATTTCGATCCCTATATGTTGGATATCCCTATAAACTTGGGCATGATATTTTCCCGCAAAATGCTAAATTTGATAGCGATGTTCTTGTCCCAAATATGTTCAATTTAGGCAACCCAACATCATTTTATGGTAAAATCCTACCAAAATACTTTATAGTAAATGATTCTTCGAAATCTTTTTGGGGGTTCGAAAAGCCTCAAATTTTATGGCGAAATCTAGCAAATTTTCCTGGAACGCCAACGAACCAGCGGTCCCAGGTCCTGCCCAGGTTTGGGCGCTGAGGTGTTGAGCTCCGCATTGGCCAACAAACACAGGGCAGACAGACACGGCAGCAGGCCGTAAGGGTCCGGCAGCACGACCGAGTCCAACCACCTACCCATAAAATGGTGCCATTTTTGGGGAGGTCAGTCGGTCAGTGTGGCAAAAAATGGGGATTGAAGCATCCACATGATACATGATGTGGATGATTTTTCATGTAATGTGGAGTCAACCATGAAAACTTGGGATTTGATCATCAAAACTGTGGATTTCAAGTGATTGAAGCCTTGAAGCCTGAAACAAAATGGAGATTTAGCCATTTCACTTGTGATTTGACCCAGCAAAATGGATCAAAGTGGGTCCTTGACCTTACCAAAGGTTTATTTGACATGCCAGATTGGGGACTTGACCTACCAAAATGGGAAGTTGACCTAGCGAAATGAGGTTGACCAGCAAGAAATGGAAAATTTCCATGGAATCGGCTTCGGACATCTGTTCCAGTTAGGAAATGGAGACTAACCTATGTTGACACTTGGTGATTGACAATAACTTATCTTGGGGATAATTAACCAAGTTTTGCAACCCAACAGGAGGTTCCAAGGCTCCACGGTTCCAATGTTGCGCTTCCGTTCCGGTTTTTGAGCTCGGCAAAAAATGACGCATCACTCCCAGACCCAGACATTGAAACCCAGTTACTGCTGTTGGGAATAGGAATATATAATTCTTGGAGTCTAGTAAGTGGATGAAAGATTGGGTATATCCCATGAACAACTGGGCTATACGCAGCACCCTACATGAGAGATCAAGCACAAGTGTTTGAAGTCCATCGGTTTGGGTTCAAGTCATTGGGTCAACGTTGGATGGTAATAGCCATATTCTTTGGTTTCATTTCAAGCAGCTTTGTGTTTTTCAGGTACAACGGAACCTTACCCGGAATTGACTAGAGCCAAGCTTGGTGATGCTGTCACAGTTTAGTGCTGCAGCAAGGATAGTAGCTATGCAACATATATACACGTGAATGTGTATATATATATATAATTATATATATATATAGAAGGTATATCGGTATATCATGGTATATCACATAGGTATAAGTATCTGTTCCGTGATCACCAGCCCCTCCGCCACATACTTCTTGCAGTCACAAAGTGCCGGAAGGAATCCTCAGGGACAGCCGTGTCGAGATCCCAGTCCCTTCGTGTCCTGTCGTGCGCACTGAGAGTCCGCACAGGATGGAGCATGATGCCGTACAAGGCACCAAAGTACACGAAGCCCACAGGCAGAACAAAGGCGAACTGATATCCTGTGGGCGTTGGCCAAAATCTCCAAAATCCGAACTGAAGGCTGCCATGAAAAGAACGGAGCTGGCAGAGAATGACTAAAGCTGCTGATTAGTTTGCTTCTCCTTTGAAGTGGAATAACAGTCGGGACTCACTCATGATCAACATTGATGCAACTTGGACTCATTGAGGACTCCCAAGAAAAGTGAAACCAAAGAGAAAAAAACAGGACAAAAAAATCAGCTATGGATTTTCATGTCCCAATTCATATGGAAAATCGTAGGTGTTGACTCATCTCCAAATCCCGCTCTCCCATCCTAGGCCCTGCAAGGGGAAGAACCGCGTCTCCTCCGTAAAATCCTGCGCGGAGAAGTCGATGGTGTGGTTTTCTGGCAGACATCCAGACATCTTTGGCAATTTAACACATCCAAAAAAATGAGACTCAGCATCCCATGTTTCCAGCCAGGAAATCTCTATATAATCAAAATGGCGGTTTCATGGGAAAATCATTGAACTAGATGATGGATTTTCCAGCAAGCCATGTGTGATGCCACCGGGTTGGTTGATGATTAGGTCGTCATTTCATAGGGATGCTAACCATCAAAATATGGGGGTATATGTGGATATAGCTCATAAATGATGGTTGATTGATGATTAATGATAGGGGATTTCTCCTCAGCAAAAATATTGGGGAATCCCATAATCCATTAGAATAATGTCTATCCACCAACCAGTTTTTTAAGGGACCACACAGGGTGTCCATCTCCATCTCCGGATCCTTTAGCCTGGCACTGGCCTCTTGGAAGTCCACCTCAGCCTGTGGCAAATGCATTTGAAAACATCTATATAAAAGCATCTTTATAAGATAAGCGTGATGTAAACATATCACACGCATCTTCTATCCAAAAAAAAAGTTTCTCTTTTATAGATTGAAAGTTGCATTCTCCATTTCATGGTAACGAAAACCCTTCAGTTTTTGTCCAACCCATCCAGGAATGGCACCTCGCCTCTTGCGCACCAGCTGCGCCCGTGCCTCCCTTCCCACCGCGCCGCTGTTGCGCATCGTTGTAGGCCTGGTGGGAACTGCGGCCCTGCCATTGGTGGGGGCTCATGGTGTTCTGATGGGATTTCATGGGTTTAGCCGGTTGAACATGGTTTAACCGTTTAACCATCAACAAATGGGGAGTTGATGGAGATATATTGGAACTTTACCCTGTGGTGAACAAACGTAGCTATGGAAAACCATCATCTCAATGGGCAAATCCACTACAAATGGCACAGTTTCCATAGCGATGTTAGTTTACCAGAGCGTGGAGATCAAGATGTGCGGTCCTCTGGACCTCCAAATATGTAAATTTGGTGGATCAAGATCGCTGGTGATTTTGAAATGATCCAACAATTAACCCACCGTGTTGGAAAGTAAATACCCAGACCGGTCACGGCCGGTTTGCAGCATTGAGCAAAGTCGACAACCACCATATTGACAGCAAAATGTACTAGAATCCGGCCATGAAATGAGAAACAAACCTGAGCCTGAGTACTTCTAATTCGCTTTTGCCTTCAGGCTGGAAAGATATATTGTATCCGCAATTGACCAGTCGTCTGCGCCATATCTGCACAAGAAAATCTCACTGCCACAGTTGGAAGTCAAGGGGCTAACCGAGCACCCACAAGTGCTGCTCATCTTTATCAAAATCCATGAAACCATCCGAAATTTTGGGGGCCCACAAGTTTGTGTTGCTAATCTTTAACATTCAACACCATAGATAAACAATTATTAAATAGACCATTCAATACAATTAGATCTTGGGTTTCTATTAAACACTCATAAACCATTCAACTTTGGGGGTCGGTCGATGGCCTTCGCAATCTCCTGATAGATGGGCATCAAATGGATGGCATCGCAGCGACGCCTGGGATGCTGGATTTCTGGGGGATGTCTGTTGAGATCTGTTGAGGGAAGATAATTTATAATGATTAACCATGATTAATTGGTGATTAACCCATGATTAATTGGTGATTAACCATGATAAAATTGTTCTTGCCTGGAATCCCATCCCATCACTGTGAGCCGCCCAGAATCTGACCCATTTTGCACTCAACTGAAGACGCTCTCCCTCATCCTTCCCTTCCTCCTCCTCCTCCTCTTCTTCTTTCTTCCCCCGATTCCTCCTTCTCCATCTCCTTTTCCTGGCCATACATCATACTTCATCATCACCATCCTCATCCTCATCTTTTCGTTGATCATTCGGGTGCCCAATGGTCCCCAAAAATGGGCCCCAAAAAATGGTCCCAAAAAAATGGCGAAGTGGTGAAGATGATGATTACCATCTGGTTATGACTAACATAGCCATGGAAAATCACCATTTTTAATAGGTAAACCATCTATAAATGGGTTATTTTCCATGGCTATGTTAAATAACCAGAGGGTACAACTACGGCCCTCCCATGTCTTCCCAACAAAGCCCATCGCCACAGCTCCCCTCTGGGTCTCAGCCACTGCAGGGCACGACGGTTCCAGGGCCAGGTGACGAGGCGCGTGGCCAGCGCCACCAGCACCACCGTGAGGGATGCCTCGCCGGTGACCTTGATGGCAAGTCTCCGCTGTCACCAAACTGGGGATATCAATCATATCATATGAGGTACAGCCATTGGTCGCCATTGGTCATTGGCCCAAAATGACCCATGTTTTTTTGACACATGGATCATGGGTCATCATGGGCTACATAGCTTTGAAAATGAGTCAAAAAGATCAGAAAAAACTCAGGGAGTTTAAGCTGCTCTGAATCACCATCCACTGGCGCCATCCACATCCGCATCCTGCACGCCTGGTGGAGCTGGAGAAGACACTGCTGGAGACTATCCATCAGAAGCCATGGCTCATAGCTTTCCAGGGGATCACCACCTGAGGGTTGGAAACCAAGTCCATGAAGCCATGGGACCAGGGCTGATGACAAAAACACAACGTGAAACCATGTCGGTTTGGGGGGTACATCATGGTTAGATCGGAAATTCCAGAAGATAGATATAGATATAGATATATATATATATGTGTATATATAGAGAGAGAGCAGCCATTGTAACATGCAGTCGCCTGCATCAACGGCTACTTGTCGCAAGCGCGTCAATAGCTCCTGACCGGCCACCGAAAAATAGCTATGGATATATGATATAAGTCCTCGTACCATGGTGTTCACATCCAAATAGCTAGCAAACACGCCCACATCGATAACATTGGTTTTGACTCTACCCCCATTTTTCAGAACTGGCAGGGGTGTCCTCGCAGTGCAAGTGGGTCACGCGTCCCACGTTAATAAGTGGGTCATGCATGGTTGATCTCCTGTTAAACCCAGTGGAGCCGTGCACTGCTCCTCCTCGCCCTTCAGTTCAACCTGGTCGTCCATGTCTCTTCTGGAGCTTCCTGCAAAGCATAAGACCATGGATGGAACGGGGTCCCACATGTGGGTTCGTCAAAGAATGGTGTACCCAAAAAATGCAGTGGTTTATCATGTTCCCCGAAAAAGCCGTAATTGGGGGTGCACTTTCAGACAAACCCATTTTCAACCCCAATGCCAGGACTCTGTTCAGCATGAAACAAAAGGTGTCCCACCTGACATTGCGCGCACCCTGGGTCGCGCCAGTGCAAGCAGCCTGTGTGACCTGAAGCAGGGGCTCGGTTTCGGCGGATTTAGATATACCGCTACTGGGTTCCAGCAAGAGCGGCTTCCAGTTTCCGCCGTGGGATCTCGTCTCAACTTTCCCTTTGGGCAATGAACGTCTAGATGTGACCAATGATATCAATTGCTGTCTCTGCGACTCGCAAACTGTCCGATGGCAACAGAAAAATACACGGTTTGTGACTCGTAAGTCCTGCAGAAGTTGAAGATTCGTCCACTGCCATCTAGTGAGTTCCGCAGGTGCCTCCCACCATGCAGCAAACGCAGCAGCTGCATCGAATGGTGGAGCAGGTTCCAAGTAGCATCAGCTACAATTGTTGGTCTGCAGGTAACCTCCAACCATCCCTTGTGTTTTCTTGCTTTGCTTTGTCATCCATCTTCATGTTCAATTTTTCCAGTCTATAACCTACTGAATTCTGGCTGAACACATATCTCCCTGACAAGATGATCAAAGACAGAAAGTAAGGCTTCACAAGCTACACTTTGTTCCACTTGCGACTCGAAACCTGTGGGTGTTGTCTTGCCCGAACTTTCAAACGGCTGCATCAGGCACAAACAATCCGAAAAATCTCCTGGGTTACCATTGGGCCACCGGGCTTCTTGGCACACCTCAGATCCGGTCGTCTGTCGTGTCACATTCTGCAACTGGCTGTGGGTCAAAGCTTTCAATCCAGCAAGTTTTGATCATTGTTTGACGTTGTTTTCAGGTACAAATTATGATAATCAAACGTGGTTTTCTGGAAATTTATCCATTTATGATCATGGATGGATGATGTTCCCATTCAAAGCTCTAATAAAAAAGGGGGATTTCCCGGCCATGTTTGATGCAGCTGGGATTTCCCGGCCTTGCGCAATGCTTAAGTTCACCGTGCCTTTTGGGCCATCCTGAGGCACCACATGAAACAGGACAGGATTTTGCCATCAAAAATGGGGATCCAAACACTAAAATGCTGCGTCTTTACTGGGAAAAACAGTGGGTTTTCAGGTCAACAAAGATGTCCAACACAGTGATGGTCCCATGGGAATTGAGGATAAGATCCATCAAAATTCCGTCCAGAAATCGAACCTGTTACTTTAAAAATCAGGCGTCTTTATTCAGGGATAGATGTTCCCATCAAGAATGGGGATTTTCCATTGACCCGGAGACATGGTGTAGGACCATTGATTAGATAATTAGTGTAGACACTTCAAATCAGGCTGAGCAGTTGTTTGTGGAAACTAGCAGCACTTGGACACACTGCTCAGTTGTGATACGAGAAAAAATCGTGAAAAACCAAGAGCACCACTCGTGTGCGTGGAATGAAACATGTCCCATCTGAGAGCGTTTTCTGCAACCCGAAATCGGATGAAACTGACAAAACGGGCAGGTTGAAATATGGGGATGGGTCAAAACCCTGGCACCCTATATATCCTTTAAATAGTTGGTTAATGGATCTTTATTTCCCCATAGCAAGTTCATAGGTTTTGATCCCCGAAAGAGACGTTCCAAAGATGTCTTCCAGGTGCCTTTTCAGCGACGTACCATCACAGTTCCCCCTAAAGTTCCAACAGGGTGTTTCCGACAGCAGCTTGGGCCTCTCAAAAGTCCGATCGAAAATCTCTGGTGCTTCGGGTCATGACAGCAGGGAATGATGGCCCGCAGCAAACTAAGAGATAGGTTTCTGGTTGTGTGTATATATATATATATTATACATATGTATATTCATATATATATATATAGTGTTGCAAACCCAATTTCATAACCATCCCGAATATCACCATAAATGGTTGCTATAAACGTCCAAAACTGACGGTGTATTATTTGTTTTACCATGATATATGTATATGTAATATATTATATCGTATTATGACATATTACATTACATTACATTACCTTACCTTACATTACATTACATTATATTCTTATATATGATTTTACTATA